GACAACTGCCCCTTTGTGATAGGGCTGGTTCAAGTGTTAGGCAGGGTCTCAGGCCTTTGATTGTTCACTCCTGCTCTACAGGCCCTGACCTCACTTTTACCAAAGTTCCCCCTTGGCAGGAGGGCATCTATGTTGGAGGTGACTTGTCTGGGTTCTTCCTTTGGTTCCAAGAGGAACTGTCATCGGCATCTGCGTTGTTAGCAGTCAGTACCACCCTGCCCCATAATGAGAGTCAAGGCTCACTAGTTGACTGATGCCTTTTTCCCAGACTCCTCCTTTTGAATCCCCAAGCCCTAGTCCCTCTTAGGGGTGAGGACAAGAGGTCATATTGGAAGCCACCAAAGCAGGTTCTTTATGCCCTTTCCTCTGCGGCCAGCAAGGCTTACCTGGCCTTGTCCACCTACTTATGGAACCTCAAGAGAAGAGGGCTCCTCCTGAAGGCATGCACCTGGTAGCCCTGCTTTCTCACATGTGTGATCCTAGCGTGAGAGGTCGTCCTGCCCTTGCTGAAGTTAGTAGTACTGTACCAAGAGTTTTGCCCCCATGTGATTTCCTGCCCCGGCACCTCTTCCCTGGGGCTGAATCAGGCGCTGCTGCAGAGCTCCAGGCTTCCCAGAGTCAGGGAGGCTGTGGGACCAAGGTCCACGTCGGCCCTTCCACTGGGTGCAGCAGGAGCTGGGGCCCAAGAGCCAGGCGGGTGAGACTGTGCGGGCCTTCCGCCTGAGTATTATTTATTCACTCCTTTCCTCACCCCAAGTGCCCTGCTTTCCAGGTGCCTAGAGAATCCTAACTCTTAGGACCAGGGATTGTCTTGCACCAAGTATGCCTACCCCTGGCCAGTATGAGGTCTCCTACCCATAGAACTGACTCCTGGAAGCCGGAAGAGAAGGTGGTGACACCCATGGGTTCTCAACTGCAAGGGAAAAAGACACCAGACCTTTGTTCCCTATTGGGGAAAGCCCTTAGTCTTCTACAGGAGCAGCTTGCTCCCAAATCCTTTCAGAAGCCGGCAGAGCTGTATTCCTGACAGTTCTGACTGCCAGGTGGAGCAAAAGACATTGGTGGGGGTATGTGAAGCAAAAGGGGCAGGTGCACACACACCTTCACGTGACCTCTGTGCACATGGTTACCACCAACTGGCTGGTACTCCTCCTCTTCCCTGGCCCACTGATAATCCCTTTTCACAGAGGATCATCATTATTTCCAAACATTGTTGGTCTGATGACTTCCTCTTCCCAGTGCAATTTTCACTTCCTATTTCAAACTCTGGTTCCTGGGATGAGCCATACCCTGGAACTGGCCCACCTGATGTGTCTTCTGTGTAAGGGAGACCTTTGCAAATGCCATCCAAATGGGTAGGCAGGTCACAGCCGCCATATTTATTTTGCATAAGATTTTAATTTGTATATTTTTGTGATTTATTTTGGCGTTATGAGTTTGACTCTCGGGGAGTTTGTTGTTATGACTCTTGTGTCTTTTGTCACAAAACAATGATAATATTTGTTAAACGATATATGGAATTTATTTTTGATTGGTAATAAAAAATGAAATATGTATAAATCCTGGTGAGTCTACAACTTGCCTGTTTGAATTCTGTCTGTATTAAGTATGTTGTCGAGATAAAAGTGGCTGTGGCTGGCTGGCTCTTGTGATGGGGCAAGGGGCAATGAAGGATTGTAAGACTATTCAGCAGTGAAATGCAATCAGAAATGGAATTTCTAAAATATAGTCAAGGCTGTTGTCACGGGAGTAACAGGGTTGTGGCTGCTGGCAGACATACAGGACAGATGTGCTCAGCTGCCATAAACATGAGTCCTGTGAAACAGATCCCATAGGCTCCTTGGCTTGTGAGTACTGGAAGGGCAGTGGACTTCAGCAAATTGCCCCTCCATACCCACGGGTCTGAGAGAAGCTTGAACCAAAAGTATCAGTATATTGTTTTATAACATGCAGCTGCCTTTTCATCCACACCTATAGGCTGGTTGTGCTTTCAAAGTTGGAGTGTTCATCCCCTGAAGAACCTGACTGAGTTACTCACTACACCCACTTTCAAAGTTGCAGCTCTGCTGGGGACTCTATGGTGCTGTCTAGGTGCTGCAGGCTTGCTTGTCCAATGGAATGTACTGAGGCCAGGGACTCCAAGCATGCAAAGGTTAATGTAGTAGACAAAGTGGGGGCAAGCTTGAAGAAAGGGAAGCATCTGGGTAGACAACATAGAAAAGAAGATATTACAGATAAAAGAGGTACACATGCAAACGTTTGTGTATAGGGCAAGATTTATAAATTATCTTCATCTGTTCCACACACTTAAGCACCTATTGCATTCCAGGTACTACAACCCCTCTGTGAATTTAGTGAAGAACCTCCCTCTGACTCTAAAGGGGACAGTGACAGCTTTTTGACTTCTTGTATCCCCTACCTGGGACATATCTCCTAAGTCTTAATGAGACTCACCCCTTATTTAAGCCTCAGTTCAAATCCCATCACCTTGAGAAGCTTTCCCTGATTAGCCCATTTCAGTCAGCATCGCCCCAGAATCTGTCTTTTTATCTTGCCTTTTTTTCTCATAGCACTTACTACCAGGTATTAAAATATAGACTTGAGTATTTTTTGTTGTCCTTGAACTAGAATCTAGCCCCACAAGGGTAGGGACTTAATTTTATTCCCACTACAGTCCCAACAGTACCTGGTACACTGCAGGGACTCAATGCAGGAAATACTTGTTTAATGAACAAATTAATATGTTACAATAGGGGATGTACCTGGATGACGTAGGGAGAGCACATAGCTCCGTAGTCAAGAGGGTCAAGGAAGATCACTTGGAGGGAGTAGCATATGAGCTAAGGCTTGAGAGATAAGCAGAAATTAGCCAATGGGTTTAAAACTGAAGAATAAATATTTAGCTCTAACATGGAAATGTCTTGATCCGAAAGACCAGTAAGGAAAATGGCCCAGGGAGGGCCAACGATGGCCTGAATGTTAAGTGGCTGTGTCTCCACTGTTGCTAACCAGGGGTGGAGTAAACAATGGCACAGCCACAGAAGAACCTGGCAAAGGACTGTTGAGGCCTCTGCTGCAAATGGAAAACCACTCCAGGAACAGCTCTGCGTGTTCCATACTGGGTTTTTTGTCAGTATCTTTGGGTACTGACAATTTAAATGACCACTTATGTTTTCCAAGTTTGAGCCAATTGTTCTTTCACCTGAAGCTTTACTGCCAGAAAGTTAGTTACAGGTTGTTTTCCAAGGAAGCCTAAGACGAGGAAAAAGTAACATGTCAAAGCTGAGGGCCCTGTCTTTAAATCCATGGGGAGCTTTTCCTGGCTTTCCTCTGGAACTGTTCTTTGCTAGTGAAGGACTTTTCAGGCACAGGACTCATTTCAAGCCTGTCATGCATTCTATTTCAAAGTCTGTGTTTTCTCTTGACTTGGAGACAGAAGTGAGAACTAAAGGAGCTGAATCTATTGTAATGTTTGCACTTTTTTTTTTCTATAAAGGAGGCATGATGATCCAGTGGAAAGGCCCAGTAATGTCTTTATTGCTTCTGCTGTAGGCTTAGTATGTAATCTGCAAAAGTAAGGTAAACTGAAAGGGCACAGAACATCATCTGCACCGAGATGCCATTGGCCTAGTAACAGCTCTGACTTTACAATGCAGAAGAAACACTGTTACCATCTTTTAAAAAGTTTTTTTACAATGCCTCTTTCCTTTGGTCATTCACCACCAGCTTACTCTTTTTTTTTTTTTTTTTTTTTGCACATTACCTTTCACACAAACACGTTTTACTAGTGGTCACAACGTGTATACTTTTTTTTGTTATTTTCATGACATAGCAAATTGTTTCTGTAGAATCCTTATAAAGGTCATTTAAAATGATGTACAGTAAGTCAAAGTCTTCTTGTGCTAGGAAATTTAAAAATATATAGAGAAAAATACAAAAATCACTGAACCTGAACACCTATAGGGAAGTTTTGTTAGCAGTTGGTCTATTTCCTTTCAATCACACAGAGATCATATCTAGTGAGTAAAGAACATTCCATACTATCAACAGACCATACTGTCTTCTAAAATCGCTTCAGCAGTGAGGATCCTCTCGAATAGATCTTGTTAGTCCTGAGGAATTATTCTCCCAGCGGTGAGCTGTGAGAAGTGGAATCACCAAATTAATTTCTGACAGAAATGCCGCCTCCTTGTGTGGTTGGGATGCTGACCTGGGTGTTAGGCCGGTCGCGCCGGAACCCAGCACCCATGCTGAGCCTTTCTGAGCTCCACTCTTTTCCTGTAAGAGATTAATAACTGAGGTCGCTGTCCAGATCCAAGGCGGTAGTGATTTTGTGTGTCTGCGTATTTATCACGGAGTTCGCGGCGGGAACGCGGGGACTGTCCTACGTCCCCAGACCTCTAGTACGGTGCGGCGCGATGAACATCTTCCATAAACCTTAACCTCCCGGCGCTCAGTCACTGGTTCTTATTTCAGCCCTCTTAGCCACGTAGGTCGGCGAGTTAAAAACTTTTCTGGTACCTGGAGCCCTTTCCTAAGAAAACGCACATCTCTTGCACATTTAAGCCTCCTTCTGGTCTGCAACTTCAGATGCGCCAGGACCCGAGGTTCATCCGAGCACCGCTCCGTTCCCGAGCCGGGGACTTCCCAGAACGCTGGCCTCACCTCCCGTCGCCGGGGGCGGCCTCGGGAGGAGTGGGATTCCGGGCGCCCCGCGCAGGCCAAGGAAGGCCAGGCTTGGGATGTCCTGACCGCCGCTGTGCGTCCTCCGGACCGCGGCCACCCCGCGCATCAGCTGCGGCAGGACCCGGCGAGGCCCAAAGCCCCACGCCCCCGGCCCGCCCCCAGCCCGCCCCTGGCCGCAGCTTGTTTACTCCCCGACGCAGCCTAATCAGACCCTGGGGCCCGCCCCCGCCCACCGCCTATTGGCCAAGGATGCGCGAAGGCAGGCAACGATTGGTCCGGGGAGAAGCGGGGCGAGCGGGGTAGGCTGCGCGAGAGGCCGAGAGGGGGCGGCAGGCGATGGCGGCTGCGGCAGCGGCGGCGGGTCTGTTAGGCTGGTTGTTCGCCGCGCTTTGCCTGGGCAATGCCGCGGGGGAGGCCGCGTTGGGCCCGCGAGTGTTGGGCTTCTGTCTGGAGGAGAACGGAGCGGCGGGCGCGGGGTGGGTACGCGGAGGGGTGGCGCGGGACACGCCGGACGCCACCTTCCTCCTGCGCCTCTTCGGCCCGGGCTTTGCCAACAGCTCCTGGTCCTGGGTGGCCCCCAAGGGGGCGGGCTGCCCGGAGGAGGCGGCGGCCCCCGCGGGCGAGTGGCTTGCGCTGCTGCGCCTGCGCCTGCGGGCAGAGGCAGTGCGCCCGCACTCCGCGCTCCTGGCAGTGCGCGTGGAGCCGGGCGGCGGGGCGGCTGAGGAGGCGGCGCCGCCCTGGGCTCTGGGCCTGGGGGCGGCCGGGCTGCTGGCGTTGGCGGCGCTGGCGCGGGGCCTGCAGCTGAGCGCGCTGGCGCTGGCGCCGGCCGAGGTGCAGGTGCTGCGCGAGAGCGGCTCGGAGGCAGAGCGTGCGGCGGCGCAGCGCTTGGAGCCCGTGCGGCGCTGGGCTGGCTGCGTCTTGGGCGCGCTGCTGCTGCTGGCCAGCCTGGCGCAGGCGGCGCTGGCGGTGCTGCTGTACCGCGCGGCCGGCCAGCGTGCGGTGCCCGCCGTGCTGGGGAGCGCGGGGCTAGTGTTCCTGGTGGGCGAGGTGGTGCCGGCCGCCGTGAGCGGACGCTGGGCGCTGGCGCTGGCGCCGCGCGCGCTTGGCCTCAGCCGCCTGGCCGTGCTGCTCACCCTGCCCGTGGCGCTGCCCGTGGGGCAGTTGCTAGAGCTGGCGGCGCGGCCCGGGCGGCTGCGGGAGCGGGTGCTGGAGCTGGCGCGCGGTGGCGGCGACCCCTACAGCGATCTCAGCAAAGGCGTGCTGCGCTGCCGGACCGTGGAGGACGTGCTCACACCCCTCGAAGACTGCTTCATGCTGGACGTCAGCACCGTGCTGGATTTCGGCGTCTTGGCCAGCATCATGCAGAGCGGCCACACGCGAATCCCCGTGTACGAGGAGGAGCGCTCCAACATAGTGGACATGCTCTACCTCAAGGACTTGGCCTTCGTGGATCCCGAAGACTGTACACCGCTCAGCACCATAACTCGCTTCTACAACCATCCCCTCCACTTCGTCTTCAATGACACCAAGCTGGACGCTGTCCTGGAGGAGTTCAAGCGAGGTAACGGCCCGGCCTTGGTGCAGGGGACGCTCATGCCAGTGCCCTCTCCCGGAAAAGGGGTGGAGAGTTATGGAAGCCTCCAGGAAAGGGTCCCACCCCCGTGGAGAGCAGTGAGACCCCTAAGGGCCCTTTTCAAGAAGGTATTGGCCTTGGAGCTTGGAATGACCTTTTGAAATATTTAAAGGCCATCCATCAGAGAGGGACAGAGTGCTTTAGAAAATGAACACTTTAACCCCCGTGTCAGGATAGCCGCCCTCCCATTTGGAGGGAGGGGTATGTCCACTTAGTTCTAATCAAATTCTTGGATAGAAACTGGAAGAACATAGAAAAGGTAGTTTCCAGGTATCTGAGATGTTGTTATCTGCACACACAGGACATCAAATTGACTGAACCTGTGATGTTTCCTCCAGAGCATTCTTAAGGTCCCTGAACTTATTGCAGATAAGGGTATTGAGGAGCCAATTCCTTATCTGCAGTAAAGCCAGGGAAACCTACACTTTGCTTTCACAAAAAGCAACTCCATGGATGCTGATTTAGTCTCCCTTTCTCCCGGCTCTGTCGCCCAGGCTGGAGTGCAGTGGCGCGATGTCGGCTCACCGCAACCTCTGCTTCCCAGGTTCAAGCTATTCTCCTGCATCAGCCTTCCGAGTAGCTGGTACTGCAGGTACCCACCACCAACCCAGGCTAATATTTGTGTTTTTAGTAGAGATGGGGTTTCACTACATTGGCCAGGGTAGTCTTGAACTCCTGACCAGGTGATCCACTTTCCTCAGCCTCCCAAAGTGCTGGGATTACAGGCGTGAGCCACCGTCCCTGGCCTCTTTTTGCTTTTTAATCTTATTTTTAATTTTTAAAATTTTATATAGAGACAAGGTCTCACTCTTTTCCCTGGGCTGGTCTCAAACTCCTGGCCTCAAGTTATCTTCCCACCTTGACCTCCCAAAGTGTTGGGATTACAGGCATGAGCCACTGCACCCAGCCTGACCTTCTCTTTTCTAACCCTAAGTTCTCAAGTTCTCCCTTAACTCCACATTTTCGTCCCTCCTTTCACTGTGTTTTATCTGAGCAGTTCGGAGGTTGAAGGTAAAACCTGTACCCTCCAGATGTGAAGGTGTGGTTTCCTCAGCAGTCCTCTCCAGTGTCATCCTTGGGGGTGCTCACCAGAGTTTGGGGCTCATACCTTGGCCAACAGCCATGCTTCTCACACCTGCACTCCTGTAGGGTAAGGATAGGGGCACCCCAGAGTGCTGGATGGGCTTGACCCCAAAAGCTGCCTGGTGTGAGGCCAAGAAGTGGCAAAGCCCCCTGGTATTTGTGGCAGGACATGTCTGGCACTCTGTCGAGAGCCCCTGGCCCGCTGGCACAGGAAGCCAGGCTTTGTGATAATAACTGCTACTCCTGACTGAGCACTGCTGTGTGCCAGGCGCTGGTCAGCACTCTGTGTATCTTATCCCTCATTCCTTGCAGGAGGCCTGGGTACTAAGTTACTGTTACTGTAGCTCAGGAATGGGTGGGAGGCTTAGGTGGGCAGCTCTAACTATTCTCTTAGACTCTTGGGTGCTTCTGTCTGAGTTCCTAGAACATGGCCATGCCACCCTGCCCTGGGGAGGGAGCCTGGGCTGGGATCTAGATAGAGCCTAGCGGTGGTAAGTACTCCATCTGGGCCACCAGACCCCCTGAGGCAGGGGTGATTCTCCTAGTGTGGTGGCCAACAGTGCGACCGTGGAATCAGCAGAGTAGGTTCTATCCTGCCCTTGCCTGCTCCCAGGCCCTGGAAGGCTGCTCAACCTCTCATGTCACAAGGTCCTCTGCTGTTAGTGATAAGAGTGGGGTAAACGGACCTGCAGAGGGGAGACTTATTAAGCACTTTGGCCAGTGCCTGGCATGCACGTGCTGTGTGCTTGGTGTTAGCAGGCGGTTCTCACTCCGGGCAGGCTCTGCTGGCAGGTGAGCTGTTTGCCAATTCAGGAGCAAGAGGTGAATCATAGAAGTGCAGATTTCCATTTTTTCCAGGCAGGTCACCAGATTTCCTTCTTTATAAGGAAAAAGTGGAAGATGGTAGCTGTTCCTTTGGTGTTCTAAGCACTCACGTTTCTAAATTCTTTAAGAAAAAACTCACTCTAGTATCTGTCTTCAGCTAGCTGGTGCTTTCAGTAGTTGAGCAGTCACTGGGAGTAGATTTGGGGCAGTGGAGATGGAAGGGTTGCCCGTTTCAGACTAAAGGGAACTTCCATAGTTGGTCATATGCTCAGGATGAGGTTGGTGAAAGTCGTCTTTCATTTTCCAAACCCTTAGTGTCAGGATCTTCCCTGCCATATTCTTGCCTTTCAGATGTGATGGATGAGCTTGGCTTGGATGAGCTTGGCTTAGGGTGGTCGGGGATTCTACCTGGGGAAGAATCAAAAACGTTCCCGTTGATTGGGAAGGAGCCTAGAGGCAGGATGTCCCCTAGGGAGCTTGTGTGCTGTGTAAGGAACTTGGACTTGATTACCAGAGCTGTGAGCATTAAGCAGCACCGTCAGTTATTTTTACAGATCAGTAATAATTGTGGACACCAGCGCAGGGAGACCAGCAGTGTGAGGGATCCAGGTGAGAGGGGAAGATAACCTGAACAAGGTTCACGGCAGGCCTGGAGAGAGAAGCCCCAGGAGGGCAGCAGAGGTGGAATTGGGAAAATTAGTGTCTGACAGCAGGGCTGTGCAGCAAGGAGGAGCAGCCAAGGATGAGGCCCAGATTTCTGTCTGTGCGGTGGCAGTGCCCTTCACAAAGGGCTGGGTGTGGCGAGCAGGTAAACTTGTTTTGGCCATTGAATTTGTGTCTGTGCAATGTCCCAAGAGGCAAACTCCTAGCAGGCCGTTGATGTGAAGTACAAGTGGGAGGCAGAATAGGAGTGTCTCAAGCCATGGGAGGGAGGCAGAGAGCCTCAGCCTCCTAGGAGCACAGGTGTGTCCGGGGCAAGGGAAGCCCAAGAGAAGTTGACCAGAAGGCGGCAAGGCCAAGGAAGGAGAGTCAGAGATGTGGAATGTCCTGGAAGCTAAGGAAAGAGACCACTTTCCCAGGGAAGGCAAGTGACAGGAGAGGAGGCCAGCAAACAGGATGCCCTTGACCTTTGCAAGAGCAGATTTAGTGCCCACAGCAAGGGAGCCATTTGGGGAATGAATGAGGTGTGGAAAGGTATGAGAACCAATGTAGACAGCTCTCCACAGAGCGTGGCCGTAGAGAAGCCAGAGAGTAGTGACCGGCAGAGGACGTGGGGCAGGGGAGGGAGGAGGCCCTTTGCTGTTTGAAGATGGGCGGGTTGAGCAGGTTCAGATTGAAATGCAGGTTGAAGTGTAGCTAGGAAGGAAATTAGAGAGGCCAGGTTCCAGGCTGCTCCTGTTCTGGGCCAGGTGGCCTCTAGACAGGTCACAGGCAGCCTGATGCAGGAGGATTTGGGGATGACCGCCTCTGCTTGAAACAGACCGTTCTAAAACCTACCTGACAACACGCTGAAAGGATGCCCTTGGAAGACAGTGGGGGAGGTTTTTGGAACCTAGAGGTTGAATTAGGAGCACTTTAATCTCCCTTTACCTCCCCACTCCTGTGGTGAATGAGGGCCATTCGTGGGCAGACTGGCCATGTCTTTCTGATGACATCTGAGAGCTTTTTTCTCTGCCTCTCTAATTCAGTACAGTCCTTTGGCAAATACCATTATTTTTTCTTGTTAAACTCCTTTTTGTCCCTCCTAACCTTATCCTTAGGCATTCCTCCACTTAGGAACAAAGGGCATATTGCAGTCTTTGTGGCACGTGAGGCTTTAAAAATCGATTCCATTCCCATCTGTCTGCCAAGTGTATGAGCCTCTGAATTTCCTGGAGCTGGAGTCCCTGCCATCTTGGCAGCTTTCATTCCAGGTTTTGTTTCTTTTGCTGCTATGCTAGGGAACTTTGTAGTCTGGGGGCAAAGTACCCTCCCTGGCAAGGTGCCCCTCAGTCAGTGCCAACATGAGATGACACGCTGATTATTTTGTGCAGATGTCACCAGGAAGAATGAGTGCTTTGGAGCAGTAATAAATAACTTGGACAGCTGCTCCTTTACTTACAAATGGGGTTATGTCCTGAAAAACCCCATCATAAGTTGAAAATACCTTAAGTCAAAAATGTGTTTGATATATCTAACCTACCAAACAAAATAGCTCAGCCTGGCCCACTTTAAACATGCTCAGAACACTTACTTTAGCCTGCAGTTGGGCAAAGTCATCTAACACAAAGCTGTTTTAAAATAAAGTGTTGAATATCTCATGTAATTTATTGCATGCTGTACTAAAAGTGAAAACAGAATGGCTTTATGTGTATTTGAAGTATGGTTTCTACTGAATGCATATTGCTTTTGAACCATCAAATTTGAAAAATTATAATTTGAACCATTGTTAAGTCAGGGACTTTAATGTACAAAAGAATATTATTATTACTATATTTTTGAGACAGAGTTTTGCTCTTGTTGCCCAGGCTGGAGTGCAATGGCGTGATCTCGGCTCACTGCAACCTCTGCCTCCCAGATTCAAGCAATTCTCCTGCCTCAGCCTCCTGAGTAGCTGGGATTACAGGCATGTGCCACCATACCAGGCTAATTTTTGTATTTTTAGTAGAGGTGGGGTTTCGCCATGTTGGTAAGGCTGGTCTCGAACTCCTGACCTCGTGATTCACCTGCCTCGGCCTCCCAAAGTGCTGGGATTACAGGTGTGAGCCACCACCCCTGGCCCAAGAACATTACTATTATTTTTGAGACAGAGTCTTGCTCTGTCACCCAGGTTGGAGTGCAGTGACGCGATCGTGACTCACTGTAGCCTCTACCTCCTGGGCTCAAGCAATCCTCCCATCACAGGTGAGCACCAGCATGCCCAGCTAATTTTTAATTTTATGTAGACATTGGGGTCTCCCTGTGTTGCCCAGGCTGGACTCGAACTTCTGGCCTCAAGCAGTCCTCCCAGCTCAGCCTCCCAAAGAGATGGGATTACAAGTGTGTGCCACCATGCCCGGCCGCAGTCTCTACTTTAAAGGAACGGAGCTCTGGTTTCCTGTCTGTCAGGAGCCAGATGATTTTCGGGAGCCAAATAATTGCTGGGATGCTGAAAAGAGTCCAACCAGCTCCAACCACCATGAAGTGTGTTAGCAAACTACTTTTGTCTTTCTCACAGTATTCATTCATTCACCAAGGTGGTTTAGAAAACAGAAGAGAGAAGGTGGAAGAACTTACACTCCAACTGTTACTAGTATTATAGAAATTGGGCATTATGAAAGGGTACTTTGGCATTCAAATAGTTGGGGTACCCTGGAGCCTGCTAACTAAAATTAAACTTGAAGCTTTTCCAGGACTTTCTGCTTGATGTTGGCAAGAAACACTGTCACAGCTGCTCGTGGCTCCGTGGAGCTGGCCTGTAGGTGGGCATTGGTGTGAGTGGTTCCACTCTGTTGACTCAGCAGATGAGAGGTGACCTTGAGTCCCTCCAGCTGCCCTTGTTCTGTCCCTCTGCTGCCATCTTTGACTGCCATCTAGACCCCTCAGATGTTCTTCTTGGGATTCAGTCACACGACCACTGTTCCCGAGGATCTTCCAGGGCCTGCTTTCTTCTGTTCGTGGTAGAATCATCCCAGTGTGGCAGGCTATGGAGAATCGTGTGCCTGTTCTAGAGAAGTTTGAAAGCAAAGGGGTGAGTCCCTCTCTGTAGGAAACCTCCCAAAGGATCTGGCTTCCTGGGAGAAGGGAGCCAAGATGAGGCCTTTCTGTGCTGAGTTGGCCATTTAGATCGTGGGCTTTGGTGCTGGAATCCAAGACACTAACCAAAACCACATGTCATGCTTGGCCTTCCTGGTCTGGCCTGACAGGTTGGTACTCTGACGGGGCAGCCATGGCCATTGTAGAGATGGTACCCAGCACAAGCACTGAGGGTTAGAAGGTGTCTAGAATTATGGTTCAGCAGGACTGAGTGGAGATCTCCAGGGCCATAGCTTTTCCTCCTGGAAAGCGGGGAGATGACGTGATGTGGCGATTTCCAGTTTTTTGTCCAGGGGAACACAAGCATCCTGGAGAATTGTGCTTTATTTAATCAAGCCCACAGGATGTAAAGTATGATTCACGCAATAACACGAACTTGACTTTTTGATTTTCCAAGAGTCTAAGAGTCTTGAAGCAGACACCCCCTCGTAGGCAGGTCCAGGCCAGTTTCCCCTCAGTGTTTCCGCTAGTGACAAAGGAGGACCTGGTTGAATGAGTTGCTTCCAGCCCTCTGTCCTGGACCTGCGCAGCCCAGGCCGGCAGCCCCCCTCCACCTGGGGCTGTGGTACCTGAAGGTGGAGTCTGAGTTGAGATGTGACACCCGATTCAGAGAGTGCAAAATAAAGACAAATCGTCTGTGACTATTTTTTGTATTGATTACATGTTGAAATGCTATTTTGATTACATTGGGTTACTTACAATATATCATTAAACTTAATTGTATGTGTTTCTTTTGACTTTTTAAATGCAGCTATTCAGATTTTAAATTACATAGGTGGCTTGCATTCTGTTTTTTTCAGACAGGCCTAAAGTAGTATGGATGAAAAGCACTTACCTGACACATACTAAATTCCTGAAGCTTCCCCAGCATTCCCCAACACTCTGAGACTTGGGCTTTTTTCCAAGCTTACATTCCCTCACTAAGCAAACAAACCAAATAGGAAGCTAACCTGAGAAAGACACATAGGATAAGGTGAAAAATCTCAGCCTGGTGCTCCTCCTCCCTGCACAGCTTGGCTCCCAAGTGGCCAGTTACCACTTATCTCATCCCCAGGTTGACAGCCCCTAATGAGCAGCTTTTTTTTTTTTTTTTTTGAGACAGTTTCACTCTTGTTGTCCAGGCTGGAGTACAGTGGCACAATCTCGGCTCAGTGCAACCTCTGCCTCCTGGGTTCGAACAATTCTCCTGCCTCAACCTCCCAAGTAGCTGGGATTACAGGCACGAACCACCATGCCCAGCTAATTTTGTATTTTTAGTAGAGACAAGGTTTCTCCATGTTGGTCAGACTGGTCCCTAGTACCCGACCTCAGGTGATCCACCCGCCTCAGCCTCCCAAAGTGCTGGGATTACAGGCATGAGATACCGCACCTGGCCATGAGCAGCTTTATAAATTAGGAAAACCTCCCTGGCCGGGCGTGGTGGCTCACGCCTGTAATCCAAGCACTTTGGAGGCCAAGGCGGGTGGATCACCTGAGGTTGGAAGTTCACAACCAGCCTGACCAACATGATGAAACCCCATCTTTAAAAAAAAAAAAAAAGGAAAACCTCCCAAGGAGAGTCAGGCTGGGTGGCCCCACTCGGCTGCCCTGTGTGGACTGTCTGGGGAGAGCCTGCATTTCCGGAGTCGGTCTCTTGTTCACATGCATCTGCAGGCTGACTGCTGTGTGAAGCATTTGTGTTCTCAGCTGGATGCATCCTTGTCTGAACCGCATATATGGCGTGGAGGACCTGGGGCTGGATCCCACTCTGCCATACTCTGCCTGGGGAGCTTCGTGCAGATGAGCATGAGCCCGATGCTTCATTTTCAGCCTATGTGAAAATAAGGCCAGTCCTCATAAGCATGCTGGGAGTCTTAAGTAAAAATGTAGAAAAGGGTCTGGCTCTGTTCCTGGCACATTGTAGGAAAATGAATGTTAGCTGTGTCCTTTTAGTGAGCCTATACGCAGAGGAGACAAAGAAAAATGGTGGCAGGGGGGGCACCAGCAAGCTGTTCCATGAGTGTCCTACTCCCACAGGGAAGTCCCACCTGGCCATTGTGCAGAAGGTGAACAACGAGGGTGAGGGCGACCCCTTCTACGAGGTCCTGGGCCTAGTTACCCTGGAGGATGTGATCGAGGAGATCATCAGGTCCGAGATCCTGGACGAGTCAGAAGACTACCGTGAGTCCAGACTCCTGGCAGTTCCACCTCCACTGGGCCCTCACGCTTCCCGAGGTGTATGTTGTGTCAGAGGCCAGTGGGCCTCTGTGCTGCTGGAACCCAGCGAGATCCACAGCCAGACTCCCTTCTCCTCAGCCCTGCATGGGTGCTTGTAGGAGGGCTCACGCCTGCACCTCCACACAAGCATGGTAGCCTGTGCCAGCGGTGGCCTTGCAATCCCAGGGCTCGCTTGGGGCTCCATTAGCTGCCGTCCTGTTTCCTGCATTACTGAGAGGGCCCTACCCTTCATGCGTCTTTCCAGTCTTCTGTCTCCCTAGGTGCTTTTGTTTTTGTAGGTTTTTTCCTGCATTACAGAAATGTCCCCTGAAAGAACACATTCTTTACCATGAAGAAAGTCTTCCCAAAGCAGCTGATCCCGGGGCCCTTGATTGCATGGTAAAAGTGTCTGCCTGTTAGGATGGTGGCTGAAGTCTGCAGAGCAGCACAGAACCTGTGCTTCGTGGCTGGGCTGCCTGCCCCACATGCTTTCAGAAGTATTGCTTTACTCATGTGTCAGTTTTCAATCATAGCATCTTTAGTTTTGTTTGTGAGACTACCATAGGCATGGGGTCTCCAGGTTAATTGCAGCCGTTTTGCACTGGTAATCCTTGAATACACACTTTTAGTGAGAAGTAGCGCTCAGTGGCCAAGGAGGCCTGTTGTGTTTTTTTTTTTTTTTGAGACGGTCTTGCGCTGTCACCCAGGCTGGAGTGCAGTGGCGCAGTCATGGCTCACTGCAGCCTCAACTTCCCAGGCTCGAGGGATTCTCCCACCTTAGCCTCCAGAGTAGCTGGGAGTACAGGCGCATGCCGCCACACCTGGCTAATTGTTTTATTTTTGTAAAGACGATTTCTATATGTTACCCAGGCTGGTCCTGAACTTCTGGCTTTAAGTGACCCTCCCACCTCAGCCTCCTAAAGTGTTGGGATTACAGCTGTGAACGACTACATTTGGCCTAAATTTAAAAAAACTTTGGTCTACATCCAGTGGCCTATCAGGGAGGCCTGTTATTTTATAAAAGCTGCTTTGTTATATCGGCATTCTTTTCAGCCAGCTCCAAGGCAAGGATCCACCCCTCTGTCCATGTGGTTGGGGTGGCAGCAGGCCCCATGGAGGGAGCGGTGCTGAGGACATGTCCCTGCTGGCCTCAGGAGGAAGGAGAGGATGACACCGCTCCCTGGTGTGGTCGTGAGTGTGCCCTCTTTATCCACCTTAGGAGACACTGTGGTAAAGAGGAAGCCTGCTTCTCTGATGGCCCCTCTCAAGAGGAAGGAGGAGTTCTCCTTGTTCAAGGTGTCTGATGATGAACATAAAGTAAAAATCTCGCCTCAGCTGCTCTTGGCCACCCAGCGCTTCCTGTCCCGAGGTGAGGCGGGAGGGTAGTCCATGCCCCCCGCTCTCCTCACTGTCCTGTGGGTCAGGAGGCTGCTCGGGGCCGACACTAACTCTACTCCCCATTCCTCGCAAGCAGTTACATCTTGAGGACCTCTGTGTTCTCTGCAGCCATGCCAGCATCTTGAGTCTTGGGAGAGGCAGCTCCTCTCTGCCAGACGGCCAAGAGCAGGGCCAGGGCAGTGCCACAGCTGGTACGCCATGGCCAGGCGGCCTCAGCTCTCAGCTGGGTAGATGTGGGGTGCCCTGTCCATTTTTTTTTTTTTAAGACAGGTTCTTGCTTTGTCACCCAAGCTGGAGTGCAGTGTATAATCTGGTTCCCTGCAACCTCCACCTCCCAAGTTCAAGTGATTGTCCTGCCCCAGCCTCCCAAGTAGCTGGGATTACAGGCGTGCATCACCACGCCTAGCTAATTTTTGTATTTTTACTAGAGATGGGGTTTCGCCATGTTGGCCAGGCAGGTCTTGAACTCCTGACTCCAGGTGATCCGCCCGCCTTGGCCTCCCAAAGTGCTGGGATAACAGGCATGAGCCACCACGCCCAGCCCTTGTCTAGTTCTCTTGTGTTGAGATTGGGGGTGGGGGGCAGCTGCTCACAGGCTACCCAGGAGAGCCCCGGTGGGCACAGTAACTTGAAATTGCCTAAAGTGTTGGGTGTGGTTCCACGGGCTACTAGGCCCCGGTGGACACCGTCCCTTTTTTCCACCACGGGCAGAAGTGGATGTATTCAGCCCACTGCGCATCTCTGAGAAGGTCCTGCTGCACCTGCTGAAGCATCCCAGCGTCAACCAGGAAGTGAGGTTTGACGAGAGCAACCGCCTGGCCACACACCACTACCTGTACCAGCGCAGCCAACCGGTGGATTACTTCATTCTTATCCTACAGGTAGCTGTGTGTACCAGGCCTGGAGCCTCCTGCTTCCTCAGGCCACAGAAGGGTCTGGGAGAAGAGGGGACTAGGGGCATGCAGATACCTCCCTACCCAAAAACAGTTGAGTTTATGGGTTTCTCTTTGCGCTGTCTTCTGACGGGAAAGGCAATCTGGCCACATCTGTTTCTCTCCCTGCTATTCCTCCCAGGGCAGAGTTGAAGTGGAGATCGGGAAAGAGGGCCTGAAGTTTGAGAATGGGGCCTTCACGTACTATGGAGTGTCGGCCCTGACCGTGCCATCCTCGGGTAAGCTCGGCCCCTGCTGGCGCAGAGGGCCAGGGTCAAGGCTGCGGAGCCTGTCCCCCCTTGTCACTTTGGCGCTCAGTGCCCCTCCTCACCTCCCCTTCTACCTGAGCCCACCACCCCATAAGGTGGTGTGGCCCCTGGGCTTCTGGGAGGGAGGGCAGCATTCTCCATCACTCGTCTTTGTGGCTCACTCCACCCCTGCGAAACCTCTCCCAGCTGTGTTCATCATCCTCTCTCAGCTTCCTACACACATTGCCTCTCCAGGGTGATTGGTGGGGTTGGTCTTCGAAACCGTACAGTTGTCCTCACCAGGGGAGGGGGCTCCCAGCTGCCAGCACTGGCTTCTGCCATCACTGATTGTTCCTTTGATAGTTCACCAGTCCCCGGTGTCCTCGCTCCAGCCCATCCGCCATGACCTGCAGCCCGAGCCAGACAGCACGCGTTCATCTGCATATTGTCCCGACTACACCGTCAGGGCGCTCTCTGACCTGCAGCTCATCAAGGTGACTGCCTGGGCTGCTCATGGGTGCTGACTTTAGCTGACTTTGTGTCACCGGGGCTACCAGCTTGTCTGAGACTGCCCGGAGCAAGGCCCTGCACTCATCCTGAGGGACACAGACCTTTGCACCCAGTTTCCATGCGAGGTTTTAAAAACACTTGACTCAGTTGCTCTTCTCCCCTTAACTAGCTTAAAGTTGTGCCTCTGTCCTCTTCTGGCATGGTGTGGACTCTACTGTCTACCTTCTGTGTCTCACTTCACCAGTTGGGTCTGCCAGTAATATTTTCATCCTCTAGGTTACGCGGCTGCAGTACCTCAACGCACTCCTGGCTACCCGAGCCCAGAACCTGCCACAGTCCCCTGAGAACACTGACCTGCAGGTCATCCCAGGCAGCCAGACCAGGCTCCTCGGTGAGAAGACGGCCATAGCGGCAGGTGAGTGCCAAGTAGTATGCTGTGCACTGTGTCTAGACCCAGGGGCCGTGAACTTGCACACACAGACTTGCACTTGCACTGCCCCACCCTGCCCTCTATCTTTTTTTTTTTTTTTTTTTTTTNAAACAAAAAACAACAGCAACAATAACTGTGGAGGATGGGATCATAATCCAGAGTTACTAAAATACATTATCTACAGTGTCAACTTTTTAACAATTCTGGTCCATACACAGGAAAAAAATGCCAGTCACTAGAAACTGTCTCTGAGGCTGTCCACATGTTGCATTTAATAGACACCAAGTGGTGCATGTCTGTAGTCCCAGCTAATCCAGAGTCTGAGGCAAAAGGATTGCTTGATCCCAGGAGTTGGTGACTGCAGTAAGCCATGATTGTGCCACTGCACTCTAGCCTAGGCTACAGGGCAAGACACTGTCAAAATAAAAAATAAAATATCTAGTTAACCAAAAAAGAAAGAAAAAGAACAAAAGAGATATGAAAGCTAAGGAAAACAAATCTCAAAATGCAGATGTAAATCTAACCATACCAATAATTATATTAGAAATAAACGGACTAAATTCCCTAATCAAAAGGCAGAGACTGTCAGATTAGGATAGAGACAGGATCCAACGATATGCTACCTATAAAAGCCACACTTTAGATTCAAAGTTACAAATACATTGAAAGTAAAATGATGGAAAAATATCTAACATGCAAAGAGTAATATAAGTGAACTGGAGTGGCTATACTGATTTCTGGCAAAATAGAAATTTAGTTGGAAAATGTTATTAAACACAAAAGGGCCATTTTATAATGATACAATGGTCATTTCATCAGAAAATACATATATATATATATATATATATATATATATATACCTCTAACAAAGGAGCCTCAAAACACGTGGAGAAAAAACTGATGGAAACTCTTTGATAATTCAGAAATAGCAGTTGGAGAATTCAATAACTCATTCTGAGGAATTAATAGAACAACTAGAAATAAAATCATCAAGGATATAGAAGACTTGAACAACACTATAAAACTGATGTGACCTAATTGACATCAATAGAACACTGCACTCAACAACAGCAGAATACATGAATACACATTCTTTTCAAATACATATGGAACACACTCCAGAATAGATCTATGCTAGACCATAAAACATGTTTCAAAAAATTTTAAAGGGCTTAAATTCTACAAAATATGTTTTCTGACTACAACTAGAAATCAACAAGAGAAGGAAATTGGAGAAAGCCACAAATATTTAGAAATTAACACATTTCTAAATAAGCCATGAATCAAGAATAAATCACAAGAGAAATTAGAAAGTACTGCATGAAAATGAAAACACAATATACCGCAATTTAAGAGGTGCGACTAAAGCAGTGCTTAACGGGAAATGTATAGCTTTAAATACCTATATTAGAAAAGGAGAGGCTGTCACGGTAGCTCATGCCTGTAATCCCAGCACTTTGGGAGATCAAGGCAGGCAGAGTGCTTGAGCTCAGGAGTTTGAGACCAGCCTGAGCAACAATGGCAAAACCCCGTCTCTACAAAAATTAGCCAGGTGTGTTGGCACATACCTGTAGTCCCAGCTACTTGGGATGCTGAAGTGGGAGGATCGTTAGAGCCCGGGAGGTGGAGGTTGCAGTGAGCCGAGATTGTGCCACTGCACTCTAACCTGGGTGACAGAGCGAGATTCCATCTCAGAAAGAAAAAAAAAAAGAGATTTCAAACCAATAATCTAAACTCTCACCTTACAAATGTAGAAATGTAGCCATCTACACTTAAAGCAAGCAGAGGTAAGGAAATGATAAAGATTTGAATGGAAATCATTGCAATGGGAAGATTAAAAAATAAAAATAAAAATTTGTGAAACCAAAAGTTGATTCTTTGAAAAGATCAACACAATTGACAAATATTTAGGTGGACCAAGAAGAAAGAAGACACATCACCAAAATTAAGACGAGAGACCACTGACCCTACGGAAAGGAAAAGGATGACAAGATACTTCCATTAAAACTTTATGCTAATAAACTAGTCAACCTGGACAAATGGACAAATTTGTAAAAGCACACAAATGACCAAAACTGACTCAAGAAGTCATAGAAAATCTGAATAGAGTTGTAACAAGTAACAAAGTATAAGTAAAAATCTGCTCAAACAAGAAAAACCCAAAACCAGTTTAACTAATTAATTTTATTAAACATTTACAGGAGAAATAATACCAACACTCCACAAAATCTTTCAGAAAATAGAGGAGGAATGAACACTCTCCAACCCTATGAAGCCAGTATTGAGACCTAAGAGACCTCTGAGATATAAGCCAAACAAACACATCATGAGAAAACTACATAGCAAATTAAATTTAGCAACCTATTAAGAATTATATATACATCATGGGCTGGGCACGGTGGCTCACACCTGTAATCCCAGCACTTCGGGAGGCCGAAGTCAGTGGATCACCTGAGGTTGGGAGTTTGAGACCAGTCTGACCAACGTGGAGAAACCCCATCTCTACTAAAAATACAAAAATTAGCCAGGTGTGGTGGCGCATGCCTGTAATACCAACTACTAGGGAGGCTGAGGCAGGAGAATCGCTTGAACTCGGGAGGCAGAGGTTGCAGTGAGCCAAGATTGCCCCATTACACTCCAGCCTGGGCAACAAGAGCGAAACTCCGTCTGAAAAAAAAAAAAAAAAAAAAAAAAAAAAGAATAATGCTTTTCTCATCATTGCATCTCTTAGCCTATACCCAGAGATTTAAAAAAAAATTTTCACCGGGCCATCCTGTAAGAGAATAGTTTATAGTGGCTTTGTGGGTCATTTCTTCGTTGTAATGGATTATCCATTATTCTCTAGACATAATATTGGTTATTTTCACCTAAGTGAGGCTGGCATGCTCTCTTTCTGTTTCTTGCCTGAACTCTGGGGTTGTCCTGCATTTTGTCCTGTGAGCTTGGCATTTCACTGTCCGGAGGAGCATGGCGTGGCTGCACACCTGTAAGTTTCAGTGGGGCACTGCTTAAGTCGTGCAGATGAGAACCAGTTTCTCGAAACCTTGGTACTAGATTCCCACCAGAGAAGTGCCTTTCTTGAGACTTGGAAGGCACAGTAATTTTAAATTGCCTGCAGCAGGGGTTGGCAGATGGTGATACAAGGGCCACATCTGGCCAGCAGCCTGTTTTTGAGAATGAAGTTTAATGGGAACCCACACATCTGTTTGTGGATTGCTACGGCTGCCTTTGAGTTACAACAGTGGAACTGAGTAGTTGTGACAGAGACCGTATGACCTACAAAAACTAAAAATATTGGCCCTTTGCAGAAAAGTTGTCTGACCCCTGGCTTACCATTTCAAATCCTGGGCAAGTCTTCCATGTCAGTTCTTCATGGAACTGTATGCTGAGGGAAAGGCGGTCCCCACACTGTGCAGCCCTCCATGTTGTCTTCCTGGCTTCCTCTACCATCCTGTAAGCTGTGGGGCTGCGCAGCCCCAGTGCCGTGGTTCCCCCTCAGCTCCCCCTGCCCGTGGCGCTGGGCCTCTCCGTGGTGCTGCCTGGAGCCAAGAGGCACAACCATTTCTGCTCAATAGCTTCTCCTCTTCTTTCTCTCTCTGCTCTCTTTAGCCTTCCCAGTAGACCTTTCCCTCTTTGGCACAGTTGGAAACTGCAGTTGATAAATGACTGTGGACTAGTGCGCGTTTTTTGTTTTCAGAGCACACCCAAGGTAAATATCTTCCCTCTCCCTGCCCCTTCGCTTTCCTTTCCTGGCCCTTCACCTGCGGGAGGAGCAGATCCCATGGCTCCCTAGGCTGGGGAGCATTTCTCTCCAGGGGTACGGGGTGGGCACTCCCATCCTTCTGGAAGACAGGAGGGGTCATGAGATACCCCCACTATGGGAAATGGTGCTTCCTTCTAGCCCGGGGTGCTGTATCATCCCGTCCAGGGGGCTCTTGTTCAGCATAATGGCCTGGGCCAGAAATCCACAGCCCCAGCTTCCCTGTCTCCCAGGGAAGTCATCTGTCCTCAGTGGCTTCCTCTTGTGAGGCGAGTTTGGCTGACCATCTGCTAACCAACTGCTCCTGGCTCTGCTCTGATACCTCCTAAGGCATCCCGAGGCCCGTCTCACCTGCCCCTTCCTGTCCCACAGAGGATTTGGCACTTAGTTTTGATGGGAGCTTTACCAGCTTTGATGCTAATTCTCCTTCTCTTGTCTCCGCTAGGGTCCAACCACAACAGGCCTGGCATCCCGGCGGAAGGCAGCCCTGGGCGGAACCCAGGTGTTTAACTGCTTGCTAGGCAGCCCCAGATCTGGGGAACAGATGAGCACGTGGGGAGCTGGAGTGAGCCAAGCAGAAGCTTCATTCCTGCCTGCCCCCATCCCCTCCAGGCCACGTTTTAGATGGCCCTTGTAGATGTGGGTCCTGGGTGTCCTCAGAACTTGACATCAATGCCTGGATCCTTCAGCCAGCCCTGCCCTACTTTAGAAGATGGGGGTCACCAGGGCACAGCTTTCCAGCCCTGCGTCAGGAAGGAACGAAAGGAGCACCATCTATAGTCCCCAGGGCCCTGGCCTCCCCGTCTCCCCAGAGACTGGGACAGTGCAACATATTCAGACCTCTTTGGGCCAAGCCACCTTGTGAGTGCAGTTACTACCTTATGTGGCCGTGACCTGTACTCGCTTTGCTTTTAATTTGCCAGCCTACCACTGCTGGCAGCACTTTTTGAGCAAACCGAGAGCACCCGTTTTGGTGTTGGTTCAAATCCATGACCTTGTCCACGGTGTCCTTTCCAGTTTCCCTGATGGTGCCACGTTTCAGAGCATGCACCCCAGCCTTTCCCATGTGCCAAACCAGAAGCTCCGCTGCCTGTAGGCTGTTCCTGTAGCTCTTCTCCCTCCCTGGAGGCTACTCTTCTGACCCTGAGAGCTAGCCTAGTGATGCCAAGGGCCCCTTCTGCTTCTCTGCCCACCTGCTGAGTTGCCACTCACAGCATTGTCAGTTCCTGTGTTCTGAGAAGAGGTCACGCTTGGGAGGAAGGGATCGTCATGCTGCATCACATCCTCTCCACCGTGTGGCCCCGGGAGAGTGGCCGCCTGTTGCACCTGCCACACACCTCCCCACAGCCTCCCTGCAGGTGCTGTATGGCCGTGATGTGCAGAGAGCACCTAGGGAGGGTTTATGCACCAGGTAGAACCTCATGACCTTTCTTTAAAAAAAAAAAAAATCAGTTTTTGTTATATCTCTAGAACATTCCGAGTCTTTTCCTTTTTTTTTGTTCCTAGCTATGGGGTTTTAGAGAAGTGGGAACAGGAAGGCATTTGTCTTTCTTCTAATTTGCTATATTTTCCTTCCGCAGTTCTTGAGCTGTGTGGAAACCAGGGCATTACAAGGACATAGGATCATAGATTGGGGGTAGGGAGGGAGGAGGATTTGTGGGACTTTTCTCAAAGGAATTTGGACCCTTACAAATGGGACTGAAGGCCAAAAGAACAGTGGTATGCTTGCTTAGAAATTGTCCTCAATGAATCAACTCTAAGGGCAAGCCCAGGTGGGAAACAGATGCTTTAAAGTCCTCTCCAGAACAGTGGGTTTGTTGTTGTTTGAGATGGAGTCTCACTCTGTCGCGCAGGCTGGAGTGCAGTGATGTGATCTCGGCTCACTGCAACCTCCACCTTCCAGGTTCAAGCGATTCTCTTGTCTCAGCCCCGATCCCTAGCTGGGATTACAGGCACTCATGCCATGATGCCTGGCTAATTTTTGTATTTTTAGTAGAGGTGGGGTTTCACCATGTTGGCCAGGCTGGTCTTGAATTCCTTACCTCAGGTGATCCACCCGCTTTGGCCTCCCAAAGTGCTGGGATTGCGGGCATGAGCTAAGAACAGTGGTTCTTAACCTTGGCTGCAAATCAGAATCACCTGGCAAATTAAAAATACCTGGACCTGCCACCAGGGCTTGTGATTTAATCAATCTGGGCATCAGCATTTTCAGTTGTTTTTTTTTTTTTTTTTTGTAGGGACAGATTTCACCATGTTGTCCAGGCTAGTCTTGAACTCCGGACCTCAGGTGATCTGCCTGCCTTGGCCCCCCAAAGTGCTAGGATTACAGGCGTGAGCCACTGTGCCCGGCCTTTTTTTTCTTTTTTTTAAAGACAAGATCTCACTCTGTTGTTGCCCAGACTGCAGTGCAGTGGTGTGATCACGGCTTGCTGCAGCCTCTACCTCCCTGGTTCAGGCCATCCTGTCACCTCAACCTCCTGAATAGCTGGGACTATGGTTGTGTACCAGCACACCCAGCTAATTCTTTTAATTTTTTGTAGAGATTGGGTCTCATTATGTTGCCTGGGCTAGTCTCAAATCCTACGCTCAAGCGATCCTTCTGCCTTGGCCTCCCATAGTGTTGAGATTATAGGCGTGAGTCACCATGCCTGGCTTTGAGATATTTTTAGATTCACAGAAAAGTTGCATAGACCTTTCACCCAGCTTCCCCTAATGTTAACATCTTACATATAACCTTGGTACATTTGTCAAAACTAAAAAAATTAACATTGGTGCAATCATACTATTAAAATAGTACAGAATTTATTTGGATTTTATCAGTTTCCCAATAATGTCCTTTTTCTGCTGCAGCAGCCAATCCAGGATGCTATGCTCACTTAAAGCTATTGCTTTCTTTTTTTCTAACTTTATATTTTGAAATAATTTCAGATTATAGGAAGTTGTAAAGATAATGGTCCCACACACCCTTCCTCCAGTTTCCCTCCATGGTTACATCTTACATGATTGTAATGCAGTATTCCAACCAAGACTTAGACACTGGTGCAGTGTGGGTGGACAGTCCAAATCATTTGTCACATGTACATTTGTGTAACTACCACTGCAATCAAGATAAAGAAGTGCCATCCCCAAAAGGATCTCCCCCCACCCTCCCTAACCCTTGGCAACCACTAATCCTTCATCTCTTATTTTGTCATTTCAAGAATGTTGTATAAATGGAAGCATAGTGTGTAAGCATTCGGGATTGTCTTTTTTCACTCTCATTCTTGGGAGATCACCCAGGGGTTGCATGTGTCAATGGTTTGTTCCTTTTTATTGCCGAGTGGTATTATTCCATGGTATACGCATTGGCCCCCTGAAGGACACCTGGGATGTTTCCAATTTTGGGCTATTCCAAATAAAGCTGCTATGAATATTCTTGTATAGGTTTCTGTGTAAAGATCAGTTTTCTTTGGGATAAATTCCAGGTCATATGGTGGTTGCAAGTTTTCTTTTTAAAACAAACTGTTGCCGGGCGCGGTGGCTCAAGCCTGTAATCCCAGCACTTTGGGAGGCCGAGGCGGGTGGATCACGAGGTCAAGAGATCGAGACCATCCTGGTCAACACGGTGAAACCCCGTCTCTACTAAAACTACAAAAAATTAGCTGGGCATGGTGGCACGTGCCTGTAATCCCAGCTACTCAGGAGGCTGAGGCAGGAGAATTGCCTGAACCCAGGAGGCGGAGGTTGCGGTGAGCCGAGATCGCGCCATTGCACTCCAGCCTGGGTAACAAGAGCGAAACTCCGTCTGAAAAAACAAACAAACAAAAAAAAAAAAACTGTCAAACTCTTATGTCCTCACCAGCAACCTAGGATGATCGTTTCCCCAGATCCTCCGCAGCACTTAGTGGTGACATGTTTTTACTTTAGCCTTTCTGACAGGTGTGTCATGATGCCTCACGGTGGTTTTTCATTTGTGTTTCCCAGTGATGGACACCTCCTGTGTTTCATTACAGTGGAATATCCCTGTCTTTCACCCATTTTCTGATTGGATTGTTTCTTTCTGTTGAGTTTGAGAGTTCTTGAGATTCCTTTATGAGATTTTTGGTTTGCATTGGTCTGTAGCTTATCTTTTCACCCCCATCCCCTTTTTTTTCTGAGACAGAGTCTTCGTCATAGGGTGGAGTGCAGTGGCACAATCTTGGCTCACTGCATACATGACTCCTGGATTCAAGCAGTTCTCCCGCTTCAGCTTCCCAAGTAGATGGGATTATCACCACACCCAGCTAATTTTTTGTAGAGATGGGGTTTTACTGTGTTGCCCACAGCCAGTCTTGAACTCCTGAGCTCAAGTGATCTGCCCACTTCAGCCTCCCAAAGTACTACAATTACAGGTATGAGCCACCTCACCCAGCCGTCTTTACCCTCTTAACAGGGTTTTATACGGAGCAGAAGTTTTCAGTTTTGATAAAGTCCACCTTACTGATTTTTCCTTTATGGACTGTTGCTTTTAGTGTCACATATAAGAACTCCACCTAGTCTTAGATCCCAAAGATATAGTCTGTTTTTTCCTAAAAGTTTTATAGTTTTACATTTAAGTATGTGACCCATGTTGAGTTAATTTTTGTATAATGTGTAAGACTTAGGCCAAAGTTCTTTTTTTTGGCCTGTAGATGTCTAGCTGCTCCAGCACCGTTTGTTGAAAGGTTGTCCTTCCTTCACTGAATTACCTTTGCAGCTTTAAGTCAGCTGGGCATATTTGTGTGGTCCTGTTCCCAAACGTGTTCTCCGCTCTATTGATCTGTACATCTGTCCCTCTGCCAGCATTGCACTCTTGGTTCGCATAGCTATATAGTAGGTCTCGAAATCACACTGATTATTCTTTCTCAAAATATTTTCGCTACCAGTTTTTATATGAATTTTAGAATAACATTGTCTACATCCACAAAACATCGTCTAGGATTTTGATAGGAACTGCATTCAACCTGTATGTTAATTTGAGGAGAATTGGTATCTTTATTGTGTCTAACAATCCAGGAACATGGCATGTTTATTTAAATCAGATTTCATCAGGTTTTGTAATTTTCACCATACAGAGTCCTTGCATGTTTTGTTAGATTTAAACCTAAGTATTTCATTTTTTAAGCAGTTGTAAACAGTACATGTTTTTAACTTTTGTGTCTACATGTTCATTTCCAGGAGGTAGAAACAGGTTTTGTGAGTTTATCTTGTACCTGAGATTTTGCCGCACTCCTAGGTGTCTGCTTTCCATAGAATCCTAGAGTTCCCCACGTAGACAAGTGTGGCCTCTGCATGAGAATACCTGGGCCCTCCCCTCATGGCTTCTGACTTAGGGTCTGGACAGCAGGACTTTTTAAACCTTCCTGCTGCTTTGACCTTGTCGTCAGTGAGCTGAGCTGCCTTAAGCTCAAGAGCCTAGTGCTGGGACCCTTCATCCTTCCTACTGTGTGCTCAGCCTATCTTGCTGTCGCCCGGCATGGCTAGCAGGCCTAGGCCCTACCAAAGTATGGGCTCCCCCCAGTCCAGGAAAGACAGTTAGGCTGTAATGGATATCCAGTTTTAATGAACAGAAGATACTGATCAGTATAAAAAGGTGTGTTTGTTTGTCACTGAGGTGTCCTCATTTTCTAGATGAGGAGTTGTCTTCTTCTTGATCTTGAATGCCTGCTTTGCCACAGCACCAGCATCTGGGTGCACGCTGGCTTTGTCGTCACAGGGAAGGAGCTGCGCATGGAAAGGTGTGTGCCCCTAGTGTGGAGCACTGGTCAGCTTTTCCGCATAGTAACAACAGCCTTGTTCTGGGCCTGAGAAGGCCACCAAAGGTAGACTAAAAACCACGGCCAAATGCCTATCAACCCAGTTGTACCTAATGTAACCCAGGACCCATGTGAGGGAGGCTGAGCTTGCAGCTTTCAGCCCTTCCCTCAGCCTGTGGTTCTCAGATGAGGGCAGAGCTTGATTCACTTTCTGGCATTTAGGGACCCAGCCCCGCCAGCAGTACAGGTCTACACCAGTGAAACTTGAAACATACAGCCAGTGGCAGAGGAAGAAGTCTAGGGAGCTTGCGTCCTTAGACCACCAGGGAGCAAGGGACAGGGAGGGGGGCCCTCGCCTTCCTCTGCTTCTCTGTGGGCTGGGTTCAGAGCCCCTCAGTGTCCTGGCCTCTGAGGTGGGATCAAGCAGGGTGGGTACAGCTGCAGAGTTCCAGGCAAGACCTCTAACTCCAGTACCAGGGACATAAGGGCACATAAGAGCCTCAGGCAAACTAGGGTTACGGGCCACTGCCCCGAGTTGAGTGGGCCACAAGCAATCCCCAGTGCCCAGGCACTTCCCCCATGAGAGCTACCAGCAGGCGACAGTGTGCCAGGCCAGCCTGAGCGGGGCCAGTGCAGTGGGTGCAAGGCTTCTCTCAAACACACACTCCAGCTGATCAGTCTTAGGGCTTCTGAGGCAAGCTGGTGGGTCCTCGACTTCTGTTGCTGTGAGACCTCACACCTGTTGAGCAGCCTGCGCCAGACGGCCAGAACCCACCTCCAGAGTCCCTACGACTAAAGTTGTCTAGACACTGCCAGGGTTGCTGCTGACAGGAATGGAGTCCCCGGAGAAAGCCCTGCCCATGGGCATCTGCCAGCGCAGACCGGCCTGGCCCTGCACGGCCTGCCTCCGCTGCCCCTTGTACATCTTGGATGGCATCTGCTGGCCACAGGCTGAGTTCACACCAGCAGAGACTGGCCCCAGGGAGAGCAAGGCAACCCCCTAACCTGGGATGAGTGGACACTGAGGACGCCTGGACCCAGCTCTGGG